GGATGCAGCATGGTGGCTGTTCCAAGCCAAAGAGAAGGCAGGTGTTTGGTTCATTTTTATGTGAGGTTACAACCCATTTATAAATGGGCAATAAAAACTGCCTTCTTTTGTTGGATCCTTCCGTTTTTAAAACAGGGCAGTGATTTTTTTCTATTGTCAGACAACCAATGAATCACCTGTGTTTGGCCATGATTTTGCTGTGAAGTGAAGACAGATCTGTAACTTTATAAATGGACAGGTAGAGAGCACTTGCTCTGGCTCTGATTGAGGGTGAGAGGTTCCCCCAATATATTTAAATGTTGATTATATTATACTGCTTCTTGCTCACATGTATTCAGCTGATTTAGGTTTTGTAGGCCAATATTTTAGTGATGTTTGGATCTCATTCACTAATTAAAATACTTAGAAGAAGATGTATGGCAGAGGGCAAAAGCACGTACATCCCAGCATTTGATGTGCCAGGGCTCCATCACGTTTTGCGTCAGTTTCCATTATCACTGGAAGTTTTTCAGATGCATTTATTGAATATTGAGTGCAAGCAGCTCCAAGGCAAACTGACCAACTGGACAAATTGGTCATGTGTCTGGTGGATATTGGGTGTTAATCTTTCTCATGAAAAAATGTTTACTAATTTGTTTGGCTGCGCTATAAACAAATATACAAATTGCTCTTCTTCAGTTGCATTTCTGACAGAGAAGCTACTCAAAATGTGTTTGCTCCCAGAAGTTGATACACCTGTCATTTTAAACTCTGGGACCTGAATTAACCACAAGTATCAATTCATTGTCAATTTCTATATAGGCCAGTCTTCTCTTTGGACTTGTGGTGCTGTTATAATAACATATAAACCCTTCTTGTTATAAATACCAACTTCAGTTGTTATAACATAAATGCCCTGATAACAGAGGTGCAAACTCACCTTGCGGTGCTTTGAATCCGAAAAACAGGCTATTTACAGTATGTGATTCATGTAAATCAGTTGAGTTTTTCAGAAGTCTCTCTGTGAGCAGCTCGTTTTACAAAAACAGAGATGCGTTGTCTGCACCTGAAACAGTAAGACAGAAGAAAAATGGGGATAAGATGAAGAAGGTTTGAGAGTGGCTAGCTCGTCATTTAGCTATGTCTGGTGCCATTTGTTGAAACATGTTATACTTTTCATAAAGCCAATGTGCTCATCATTGTTACTTTCCATGAACATACAAATCACAGCCAGACGTTTGAGCTGCAGCAAACTTTGGAAATGTTGAACTCATTGTTCTGCATAAACAAGTATGATTATTGAAGAGTTAGTAGACCTACTTACCATTAACAAATCAGAGACCAATGTAGGGCAAATTTCTTGCACAATAATTTAATGAATGAAAACAATCCACAGAAATTAAACTGCTATAACTGGAAATAATATTTTAAATGTGGTAAGCTATAAAGTATATTATTTATTATATACTATTATTTGACATTATAATCAATATAGTAACACTTTATTATTCATATGTTAACATTATACTAACAGTATACTATTAAATGAACACTTTACTATTGATTTAATGTTATAATATTATATTAATACACTCATTTATACTAGTTCCTGCTCCAGGTTGTGGATAGTGCCTCTCCAGTGGACTGATGTCCATTTACCCAGAGCCAGAATGCCATTGTGCCAACATGTGCTCCTTGTAGCCACCTCCTCCTTCTTTTTCACCCCGGACGAGTTTGCACCCCTGCGATAATGTGTAGCTGTATGTTATGTATTTATAGTGTGTCATTACAGATATGCAGTATATGTCAATATAACATGAAAGTATCTTCACATTTAGGGAGCATTTCACATGCCAAAAGACAGAGACACCAACAGACACGCATACACACAAATATCAACAGACTGACAGGCGGTTGTAGAGCACATCATTTCTCTGCCTGTTATATAAGCACTAAGGGCCAGATTTGTTTAGGATCTCCATAATGCGCACACACGCGCGCGCGCAAAACATGCACACATGCAAGCACATCCACACTGACACAAACACGCACATACTTGTTACTAAAGACAACTTTGCATCATCCAAATGACTCAGTATGACCACTGAAATCTGTCCCAAGGAACCAAACATCCTGCTTACTCTCCGATCAAATGAAGTAGTCTGGTCTTGATAATAAAGTAGCACTCAAGGATCTGAGTGTTCTGTTGTGTTACAGTTGCATGTGTTGACCTTTCCTCAGTTACTGACAATGAGACCTGCCGATGCAGTTTTGTTTTATGTATCTGCACAGTAATGAGACAGGAAAGCAACTAGAGACAGGTGCTATTTGAAGACTGTTCATAAATCATTAAAACATTGTCAAAATGATTGTGACACAGTGTCTGCAAGAGTAAACACAAGAGACAATGTCGATTACTGGTGCAACAAGTAAGGACAGTGTCTGCAAAGGGTGGGGATACTCATGCCAAGGTAAAGCAAGGTAAGTTTATTTGTACAGCATGTTCAACAACAAAACTGAAGCAGAGTCTTGAGCAACTGGCACAGCAGAAAATGTTTAGTTTGCATCAGCGGCAACTTAACTCAGCTCAAATGCAGCTCCAGTATGACTGTAACAGTGATCAGTAAACAGTAAGGCTGATATATGTTATACAAGTAATTGCATCTACTGTAGGAATAAAATTAAACTCCAAACCACAAAGATAAGTTACACGCTTCTAAAGTACTTTATCTCTACTTAACAGGGCAACCACACATATGCCAGTTGTACACAAGATATGGCTTGTCATGTTGGATGAGAAGGGGGGGGGGGCTTTTTGGGAGACACAGGTCAGTTGGGCACCTTTTCTGACACTGAATTGCAGTCAATCATATCTAACCATTTCATTAATTAGTAACTTTTTCTTGGAGCTTCTCTCACTGGAGATGTCCTGTGTTTTCTACATGGAAATCTCCATTACAAGCTCCTTCTTAAATCTTTTTACTGCCTCATTTGACAGCAGGGCACACCTATACTATTAGATCATGTTTGCACAGAAAAGTTGGTAACACTTTACAATGTGAGTCCATCCTACATTAATCACTGCGAATGGTTGTTAGAATTGCAAAATAGAGATTCAGACTCACTTCAACAGTCTTCAAAACTTGTTCAAAATGTCTAACATCAATGCTTGTGCTTGGCATATTCTGTATAAATAAAACTAAAATAGAACCATGCCATCGTCTTATGGCTCTGGTAAATAACCACAAACTAAGAGTGAGGCAGTCGATGTAGTTTGACCTTTGCTCTCATCTTTTTATTGTGACACAGTAAAAAGGCTGTAACATTCTTTATTGGTCTGTTTTCTGCTGCAAACATTTTGTACTGTATTGATGCACTGATGACTACCTTATTTGGAATCCTAAATATATATAAAATGGGCAGCCAGTGTTTCAATAAATATTGTTTTTTTTTTTTATTAACTTAACGCTTGTTAGCAATGGAATGGGATTAGTTAAATCTACACATTATGCAAAGCATTTCTTTCCTCTTTGTAAATTTTGCACTCAGACAGTTTGCATCTAGAATGTAACATGTTGGGGGGTCAGTGAATCTGCATTGTGAGTGATAATAGTTGATATTATGATTACCTTTTGGTGCATCATTTCTAATATGGACACAAGCTAGTTACTAGCTATAATAGTTACTAGCTATAATACTAACAGTATAATGCTTCCTGTCCTAGATGCCAGGTAAATAGGTATGGTTAGACTGCAGCGCTCGGCCATCACTTGTGGTCATTAACTCATGGCCATGAACTCTCAGTGCATGTTCAAACATGTGCTTTCATGCAAATTTTGGTTGATGTCTGTCAAACTTGGATGCAAACATATTTGGTGCTGTGGAGGCTGTGCTTTGTTTACTCTATAGCCTTAGGCAAATCAAGATAGAATGAAGTTCAGACAATTTATTGTCTCTGGATACAGATTTGAAACTGTAGTCAACATTTATCTTGATGACAGATTGAGTCAACAATGTAGATCCACTGTGTACTGGACAGTTTTATGCTTGTTGTCACTTCCCGTTTTCCTGTGCAGTGAAGGCATATTTATGATGTTACAGGTGTGCTTGCTTTTGATTTAACTTTCACTTAAAATGGTTTAGATAATCTTGCTAACCTGTTGGCTTTTTTACAGCCCGTATCTTCTAACTGTTGGAGTTTGTTGCCAAATCCTGAGATCTTAGCAATTATATTCATGAATACAGTGTTATCAAAACTGATAGAATCAATAGCCAAAGCTTTTCAAAGTTTTCCTTTAAGGTCCTCAGGATAATCTTTTTAGTGATCAACTATTTTAGTAGTAGCTGAGGCAAAAGCACCCTCTGTGCTGTCGATAGAGGAACATTTACAGATCTCACCACCAAGGCTAGAACCAACACTCCAAGGTAAGAAAAACGAAGTTGTGTGCACCAGAGGTAAAACTAACTGAGCTTATATATTTTGATATAAAAATATGAGTATTTAGAACACAATGAGCATACAGACTGACCACAGTAAAGGTTTCACTTCACTTTTGGAATCCACTCAAACTGCTGCAAAATCAAGCTGACTACAGCAAACTACAAAACTTTTTCAAGTCACCTTTCCTGTTTGCACATTTTTGATAGACAGTAGCTATAGGACCAGAGAGAAAGAAAAAAGTAAAAAGAAACAGCTCTCAGTAAGCTCCAGAATAATTGTGCAAGAGTGCAACAGGAAAATAAATTGGGAAAGAATGCAATGTTGAAATACATTCTAACTTGTAGCGCAATAATTAAATAAAATGTTTATTTATTTATTTATTGTCTTTTTGTTTCTATTAGTCTATCTTTCCATCTGACAAACCCCAGCCTGCAGCCAAGATGAAGTGCAGACTGCAGGCTGTAACACCATGAAGGGTGTTACGTTTGAACAGCCGCTGTTAGTGTTGTTGGACGGAAGGTCATGTGACAGGAAAACTGACAAACATCTAGATGGTAGACTTCCTGAAAGAGTCAGAGAGAGAAAGAACAAATGCAAGGCTGTGTTTAATGTCAAACAATGCCATTTGTTTTGATATCATTGAAATCATATTTGTTTCTGCCTTTGCACAGAATTGTAAAGTAGGATCTTGTCACATTTTTGGTGCTGTATATACATATGTATATACAATATACTGTGGTTATGAACATGTTATCAATGCAAATTTATAACTTATTTGCTTTTCATTTGTTTCTTGTTGTGGTAGACAAGAAATTGAGATAAATGAGAAAGACATAGAGAGACAGCTTGGAAGAGTGGGAGGAAAAACAAGAGACAACAAGAGTGTTTATGACAAAGAGAGAGGCAGATTACAACACACTGAAAAGTGACAGAGTGTGAAAGAGGAAGACAGCTTCAACTCATAATGCATTTCCTTAAAGGGACTATATGTAAGTTTTTAATCAAATTCATTGCCTTATTGTCACTGGGCTCAAAACTCACTTAGAAATGAAGCACACGCCTGTTTTCTCCGTTGCTTGCATCAGCCACTATTCTGCTTTGAATGTGTGGTCTCCAGGTCGGATTCAGCTCTGTGCGCGCTCTCGAGGCTTTCTTGTACAGCGAAAACACGGCAGCTAATGACATGCAGTCCACTAACACCATAAAACAACCGGCTCACAGCAAAACACAGGCTCCACGTAAGGATACAAAACAACAATAAAGGTTTATGTGCTGAAGCCCATCAGACCAAACAGGTTCAGATGATGTCGAGTAAGAACAAAGTGAGCATTAGTAAAGCTGGAGAAACACAGAGAAAGTCATGTTAGCTCGCCTGCTAACGTTGAGCAGTTGCTAATGTTATCCGGTGCAAAGTTGTATCACTTTTCACATTACTTCACCAGCTAAAGCGACCCGTGTTACTATCCTGTGTACCACTGTTGATTTAGCCTGCAAGAAAGGATGCAACGGCAAAAAGCAAATGTGGAGCGATTTGGCCTATATTGATGCAGCCAGGAGCAGCCAGCTAACGCTACAGTAGCTCGGACCTGCCGCTGTTTTCTTCATAACTTTCACTTTAGGTTTATTGTGGTTTTACCAATATTCAGGTACACAGCTTCTCCACCTCTCAGTCGCTGTAACTAACGTGACCCACATAATATACAATACTGCCACAAAAAGGTCACAACAACACAGAGGAAGAGCCATCCACTATCACTAGTTACAGTAAAGTTACTTACTGCGGTCTAACTTTTATAAAGTATGACACAATCTTGTTATAATATTCAGTCCAGCTCACTGACTGTTTCATTATCATCCAATAGTACAATGTAGCTGTGCTGACATTGCTGAGCCTCCGGTGACAGATCAGCAGGCGAGCTAACAATGTAGCATGTCGGCTAAATGCAGTAAATGTAACGTTATCATGTAACGAGCATGGATTAGTTCAACCTATAGTTGATAAAACTATTACTGTATCGTTGCAGTGGGAGTTTACCTGAGTTTCCAGCTCTGTTTGTTCTCCCTGTCTGTCTATAGCGGCTGTCACTCTGCCTTTTTTCGGGAGTATTGAGGCAATATGCGGCTTGCAGCGCTGAATGAAAGGTACGGCGACAGTGTTGATCTGCCTCTGAACCGCAAACGTTCTAGTAACATGTCATGAACATGTCTGGAGAAAAGCCACATCCTGCATGTTGGTGTTTCTGCGTTTATTGTGGTATTTCTGTATGAAAGTGGTTGTGTTTCGGATTATGCTCGCTCATGAGTTCACGAGAGCACACATACGAGCACACACCTGGTTGCAATGTTAGAACCGCACCGCTAGTGGCCACTGAAAACTACATAATGCCCCTTTAATGTAATACAGGAAACAGCTGAACTGCCAGATAAACCAAACTCCCCACTGGAAGCCCAACTTTAGCTCAGCTAAGAACTAACATATGAAAATATTTAATAGTTGACCATAGTGGGGGTGAAATTTACCTGGTGGCCACACAGCAGCATTATTGCACTTTCTTGGATCCCTCTTTAATGTCACTGGCCTCCAGGATTACAGATACAAACAACAAATACTGCTTGCCACAACATTATGTAAATTGCAGAAGAAAGTGCAGCATGCTTTTTGCTAATGAGCAAGATATGCTAGCTTGTGAGCAGGCTGTGACTAGTAAGAAGTGGTGGAGGCTAGGCTTTGTCATAGCTTCATACCTTCTTCACATTTAATGTAAGGTGAATGATGGCATTTGTGTAAAAAACAAAATAAAACATAGCTGAGCTGCAGGTGATAGAAGTCACTGTAGCATGTATTGTGCTTGTGTCTAGCTTGCAATGCCGTCTGTTTTTAGCCAACTTTGACATGTTTTGTAGTCGTGGGGGCTTAACGGAGATGATGTGCATACAGCTTTGATCGTATTAGCTTGCTCACCATTATCATCGGGACTAAACCCAAATACTCCCAAACAGGGGCAGAGGCATTTTAATTTAACATTATCCCCAACACACACTGTCGCTATAGACTAGCTCCTTTTTGTGTGCATAGTGAGTGTGTGGTCAGAGCTGGCCCTTCTTATAGCCATCTAATCAGCTGCTTAGTGCCCTGCAGCCGCCAGGGGGCCCCCAAACTCATTAATCAGTCGCTGAATGTGACTGATCTTCTGACCTGGCAACCCTAAATTATTTATCTACAATGAACTGGTACTTGTTGTTGCTAATGTAATGTTAGCAACTGGCAGTGTTTTCTTACAAGTGAGGATTATCACGTTTGTTTGATTCAAAACTGACAACCAATTACGTAAGTATATAAAGTGCCCGAACGGTCCACAGGTGAAAGTGTCTAAAAGAATATACCCATCAGGTGCTGAAAGAATTAGAAGGTTGATGAAGAGAGCACACAAAAGGTTATGGTAATGGGGTCATGTGTAGTTTTCAGTGGCCTCTAGCAGTTTGGATTCAGATTGCAACCACTACGACTTGTGTGCATGCTGAAAATAATGAGCAAGCTAAAACACCAGAGACTGCATCACACAAAATGCTAGAAGCTCAGCTGAACTCCCACTGCAACGTTATCACTAATATTTTTATCAGCTTGACGTTGAACTAATCCATGCTCGTAGCATGACATCCTGAAAGATAGTCTTTTGCATTAATTTCATGTGTTGTTGTAGTTTACATTTTTATCAGTAGTTTACCATTGTTTATTTCAGCATGGCTAAAAACGGTTACATCATTTCTTGTAGGCTAAAATTAACGCTGTGACATCTTATCGGTAGGCTTCCTAGGATAGTAATATGGATCGCGTTAAAATCACAATTTCACGTGATTTCCGGTAATGTTATCTTACCTGTCCTTACATGGACTTTGTGTTGGAGTCTGTGTTGTGCTGGTAGCCAGTCATTTTTTGGTGTTGGCGGACTCCATTTTATTAACTGCGTTGTTGTTGTTGCTGTTGAGTTCAGGCTCAAGAGCAGGCATGAATGTCACAGCCTGCTTAAGCCAATGGATTTTCATGGAAATTCCTAACCATTTTCTTCACATAGGAAGCAGCATAAACTAGCTAAATGCGGGTGTAAACTGCAGCATTCTCTGTCGCCACGTTCCGGCTGTCTGTAAGGCCTTAAGTAATGTAATCTTCCACATTATCTTCAATTTTTACGCAAGTATTTTGGTGGAGGTGAAAGAGATGGCGAAAGTGCTGGCAAGTGAACATTTTCCACTGCCGTCATTTTAAATAGTTTTAGTACACTGGTACTGACACTTCTTGTACTTGTTTTAATTTTATTAAATGTTATGCACGGTCCACATCAAATAATAATAATTGTCCCACACAGCAGCTGAAGATGACTCTACTGGAGCTCCTCGTTCAGGTATAGATGATACCACAACAGATAATGTTGGGCAAAGATACATCAAAATGCTTAAAATAAGATACCCTAAAGTGTATCAAAATAAAGCAAAATACAAAATACAGCTGCCACGCCATGTATCAAAATAAACTACTGTATTTTTTTGCTTCAAAAATACTAAAAATACTTTTCCAAAGGTACCATGAAATCATTTCACAAACCTATCGGTCTATTTGATTTATCCCTTCACCAGTACACTAACTCAGTTGATTAAGTGGACAGTGTTTGAGAACCTAATGTGTCATTTGACATATGCAACCAGTCAAGAGATCAGATATTCACATATTCCTGTGATCACCCAGATGAAGGTTAGCTTTAAAGTAACCAACAGTTTGCTAATGACTCATAATTTTATCCTAATTTAGTTACTTGGTGTTTGGTAATAAAGGTGTTTGGTGAACATTTTTATGATGTCATCATATAGAGTTCTCACAGTATTTTACAGTATTGTATTTTTAAACAGCTAAATACAAACACTAAAGTATTTTGATACATACTTTATAAGCAATCAAATAATTACTGAGATACATATTTTAAATACATGTATCATAAATAATGTCCATTCCTGATGACAAAAATGTTTTATATGTTGAGGGGAACAAATTCTGCCCCAAAGATGAGATGCTGGTCCCTTTGGACAATTATAGAAAAATAGAATTTTATTGTTTGACATACCTGAAAATTTTGTCATGTACCTGAAAATGTGGCCTTAAAGGAAGTTGTTGCACCTTGCTTGACATTACAAATAAAGTGTAATTGAATTCAAATCTGAGATTAAGTGCTTGAAATATTACAGAAGCGAAGGACCACAAACATTTACAGAGAAAGAGGAGAGAGAATGAAAGAGGTAAGAGGTGAAAAAGAGATGACACAGCTCATCATCTGCCTGCTTCAGGGTCGACCTCTCCACTCCACCCACTTGTTGGGTTGAGAGTCTGCTACGTGATGGAGGCTTTTAATCCTATATTAGCAAGCAGGCAGTCAGTCAGGCAGGCAGTCCAGAGATTAGTGCCTGTCATCTGACTGCCCTGGCTGGCCAGAGAGAGGGATTAAACTGAAATAAATGCACCACTTCCTAGTAAACACCAGCATTATAGGCAAGGGGGACGGTTAGTTTCTGAGCAGAAAAACGTTTTATAATTAGACTATCTTTATTTGTTTGGTTCTGCTTTAGGGAAGGGACACCATTTACACATTCATACATGTGGCAGATGGCAATAAAGGGAGAGATACAAATATATTCTTTTTCAGTGATAATGGTTAACCTAAGCAAGGGCAAATAAAGTAGATATTGATTTGGATTTAGACAAGATTTCTGTCAAATTGATCAAATGTAACATTCACAGCTCCACAAGCCCAACTTGTAGTTTGCTGTTCATGCACTCTGTTAATCCATCAAGCTATTTCCTTCACATGCAGACAGACAGACAGACAGACAGACAGACAGACAGATAGATAGATAGATAGATAGATAGATAGATAGATAGATAGATAGATAGATAGATAGATAGATAGATAGATAGATAGATAGATAGATAGGAGCCTTTATAGCTCATGGGGCAATACCCATCTCTAACAATTTAGCACACAATCTCATTAGTTAGCCTGTTTCTCCATTTCCATTCATGCATGGTTTCATGCCGCTCTGAACAGTCACAGCTACCACTAGTCATGACATCAGGATTATTTAAAGGACCATGCTAGCATTTTTCTGTTTGTCTTTCTATTAATTAATAATTAATTAATGAAGTTGCTCATTGGTTTGTGGACTTTGAAGCCTCGACTTTTTGGCCATCACCATCTTGTTTTTTTTTTAACCAGAATTGCAACACCTGACACATCGCCTTGGTTGCAGCTTGCCAATCAAACCATAGCCACGCACTATAGCATACCCTTCTTTATCATCTATTTTACCCTAAATGGGACCATAATTTTCAAAATAACATTATAGTAACACTTTCATAAAGTCAGACCATCAGCTAATGATGGTGCTAACTCAGTGAGTCAATACCAAATAGGTAGGTAGAAAACAGGTTACAGAGTGAAATTAAGTTTGTAACTCTTTTTTGCTACATAGCAGACAATATACATTAATATAGAAGACATTTAATTATAAACTATATTCAGTGAAGCAGTGCTGAGGATGAATTTGAGCTTAAGAGTCAAGATAACTTGGGAGGAAAGCTGCACTGCAGTCTGGAGGTGCGGCAGCAGAAACTTCTGTATCTCTTCGAAGAAGGGAGCAGGGTGAACAGGCTGTGGCTGGGTGGGTACTGTCCTTCAGTATCCTTTGGGCTTTGCATAGGCACCTCACCTCACAGATATCACTGATGCCCGGGAGATGGGTACAAATGATCTTCTGAGCAATTTTATTCACCCGCTCCAGAGCCCTCAGGTCCTGGGCCGTGCAAATCCCATGCTAGTTTGTGATGTTTACAGTTAGGATGCTTTTTATTTCTCCTTTGTAAAAGCTGACAAGAACTTGGCAGGTGAATTTTATAGCAAATAGCATAGCAACATTAGCATTGACTTAGCTGTGCCCTAGTTCATATTGTATCATTATTTAAATTATAAGGCTATGGTTCCCTTGATAAAGGCTGTAAAATACATCTGTAGCTCTACTGTGCTGAAATGTATGCCTACTTATTTTTATGGGGGGAAATGTATATATTTACTTTTATTAGGTATGTGGTATCACGTCGCTCAAGCCCAGAGGTGAAGAGAGGAGTAACAAATACAAATGAAAACTGGGTCAAAAGAGAAAAACGAAGATCATAGAGGAACAGAAGAGACACAAACACTTAAATAAAAACACCTTTAACACCCTCCCTCTTCCGAGGGAGTATGTGAGCCCACAGCTCCACTCCTGCGGCACCCGAGCGCCGCAATCTGACCCACTGGTCAGCAGCCACACAGGCTGGCCTTTCAAGACCAGCCACATAAAATACTTGCTGTACTCTCCTTGTGCTCTTATCCTCCAGGTACTGATTGGGGAATCAGGTGCAGCTGCTGCCCATTACTAGTTGCACCTGCAAGGCAGGAGGGGGAAGGGAAGTACCTGGAGAACTTCAGGAGAAAGACGCACCAAAACAAAACACAGGGCCCACGGCTCTAGGGCCGTAACAGGTATAAATATTACGGTTACTGCTATCTATGGGGTAATGCAGGCCTACAACTAGCCTACTCCAAACCTTTCCCCTCCTACAGTATGTTTAACCTGCTTGGTGCTGCTGTCCAGTAAAAATACACATTCACGTGGTGGGCGCCTCAGCGCCAGTGCACATGCAGAGAGGTCAAGTGTAGTTCAAACTCGCCAAACAAACAAGCACACCCTTTATTTTATTGCTCAGTCACATATACAGCTCTATTACTCCTCTTCCAACATTAATATAAAACAAAATAGTGATCATTTCAGCATAAAACATTTTATGCAATAGTTATCATCAGTATTTGGATACTTGAAATCTGTGAATAGTTAGTAAGTATCCATAGAAATAAGATGGAACAGCTCCATGCTGGAACTATTTGGTCAATACCAGTATGATGTACAGCTTTTTGCACATTTTTGTCAGGGAATTCCAACAATTCTGGATCTGAATTTATAATCATGTCAATACCCTGCCCAATTCATTGTAATAATCTCTCCATCTCTATGTTATTGTCTAGTCAAGATAGGTTGTTGAGGTAGCAGTGGGGGTTAGAGACAGGGAGGAACAGCAAACAGTAGACTACTTAAGTATGGATACTGTGTACTCTACAGCCACCTCTGATCACATTGGCGTCAGTCAAAAGCAAGTGAATTGGTCCACTTGCACTGATCCACTTGTGCACAGTACTTAATCAGCTTTCCAGTGGTTTGGTGGAATACTACAGTACGCAAATTTAAGGGGACAACAAGGATGGTTTGCTAATAGAGGGTGGAGGGCCGGTCTAGGGCAAAAATGCTAGGGCCGATTTTTTTTGTCTCACTTGAGCCCTGCCTGTGGCTGCGGCTGACCCATTCATCCACCAAACCTGCTCCCTTCTTGGGCTTATTATACTATGTCACCTGACTCCCTAAAGCCTTTCTGACAGAAAGCTTTAAGAAAGCCTTTCTTTAGTTGCCAGTGAATGTATCCTGATTAACGTTAGCCATGTTGATCTTGAATGTGACTGGCGCAACTGCCACTGCCTCATGTGGTGTCGGAATAATCTGAAAACTAAGTTAGCGTAAAGAACATATTGTTTAAACGCCCAGGGCAGTAAAATACAAAACATCTTCCCTAATAAGTTTTTTTTTTTTTTTTCAGGACAGCAGGTTCCAGGATTCTCCTTTTGAATGCAGCCATTAACAGTCATGTGAACTGATAATGAGGACACTGAAATATTGGAAACTGAAGGGTGGAAAGAAGTGCAGATGACAGCTTTATGGTTGATCACACAAAAAGGGGCAGGATGTCCTGTCCTAATATTGCTGCTAAGCTGTGTTTTATGGTCTAAATTCAAAACAGCCAGAACAATAAATGTGTTTTTTGTTTATCATTGCCAAATTACCTTTAGGCAAAAATATGGCTTCATTAAAGCCCCAATTCTGGATGCTGTTTTCTTTCTTCTGTTTTCTCTGTTGCTGTCCACTTTCACATTCAAATATATGAGCTTTGTGTATTACATTTTCATAACAGCCTTTAGTTAAATATACTTTTGCCATAACAATAAAGAAGCAATATGACATGTGATGTTAAACCGTGGTATTATCAGTCCCTCTGCACAGAATGAAAATGATAAAGGAAGGATAGATCATTACTGTTCAGATCTGACTGGCATGCTTATGAATGTTGCCATGCAACTTTTGATAATGTTGCCATGGTAATAATCATTGCTGCAGAGCATATGACAGAAAGTTGATCTGTTACCAAGGCTGTGTTTTGCAGAGCATTTTCTGAGAGAGTTGTGTCCTCCAGAGTCTGGTACTCTGTCCATGCATGTGCATGACACTCTTTTTTTCACATGTAACAAGGATATCTATCACATTAGATACCACGTGACATTTTGAGTTTAATACAGTTAAATTCTTGTAAATGGATATTCTGTGAGGAAACTTAGTATAGAGGCAAGACCTAAAAAGCACATACAGCAGCACAGTAAATTGTACGTCAGAGATGCAAAGAAATGTCCAGAGGGAAACCATCAGCAGGTGCTGTCAAAGACAATATGTGACAGGATTTCTGATGCAATTTAATTTTTGATTTTTAAAGATGTTCGAATCATTAAAGTTTTGTGAATTTCTCAATCTTGTGTTCACAAAAAAAACATTTTGGGAAAATATATTTATTTGCTTTAGAAGTTTGATACCACTCTTGTATCTTAAACCTGCAGTGCAGAACCTTTGTCTCCCTTTCAGACAATAACAGTATTTACACACTTTCAATATGTGCTAATGACAGATGCCTACAGGTGAGCTTGCCCTGGCTCCTGTTCAGAAATAGTTTTAAAAATAAAAAGATATTTCCACAGTTCCAAGACACTAATCCATTATCTAGGTAGAGAAAAGTTGTATTGTCTTTACATACACACACATAGATCAGCCACAGGTCACTGATGGGTAAACTGATACGAAATCAGTACAACATTAATTAAATTTTACAGTTTAATTAACATAATTAAATATTAAATTAATCTGCCATTAAATTATATATTTTAGATATTGTCACAGAGCCCTGTGACACAGTTAAACATGGGAGGAGTAAACATTACATATCTTGGAGAGACTGATGCACTTAAATCTTTTCCACATCTGGCCAGAATGCATCTAGACATCCTGAGGTGGTTTAAGTAATTAAATCGGGATTTCAATCCCTAATGCTTCTTAGATGCTTTTTGAGACTGGATAGCTCTCCAATCTGATCAAGACATTTGGAGTGACTTAGAGTTTGGTCAAAAAGAGTGTAAGCATAGGACAAAAACTAGACTTATCTGTACAAAGTTCAAAGTACAAACATCTATATTTCTACTTCATATGCTTCTTAACACTGACATGAAAGTCAAATCGATCTTCTCATCTAACTCAGCAAGAGAGCAAATAAGTGTATCTCCCAAATTAAAGTATTCCTTTAATATAACCTCAGATGATGGAATAATTACTTCACCATCACATACATGTTCTGTGGTTTATAAATGTGCACAGTTGAGTATTTTTATTCATTTATTAATAATTTCTGTCATATTTGCAGAAGTGTCCACTCCATGTCCCTTATGATTCCTCACTTGTAACTTTACAAAAGACCTCATTATTGTTGAGCGTCTGGTGGGGGATTTAGCCAACAGGCCAATCAGCGTCTCCTTAACGAAGCATTATCCGGTCGGCTAAGCTCCTGTTTTGCTATTCACTCATTAAACGCTCTAAGTAACTTATTTTTTTCTCCTTAGGAACAGACGTTTAATCTCTTTTTCACTTAAGGGATAAATACATTCTCAAACACATTTTCTCTGTCTCACTCTAAATTACACACACACAATTTCACTTCACCTAACAAATACTCTCTTGTTCAAAACTTTAAAGCTAAATCTTTGGGTCTCCCTTATGGAAAAATTTACTAATTTCTTTCACTCCTTCTTTTTAATTTTCTGTTACCCTCCTCCATCTTTTAAACTGTACATTTAAACATTTTCTCCTTTGCTTTCTGTTTGTCTTTCTACCTCAATATTCTACTCTTCCTCACTTTACATCTCTTTCTGTCTCTCAGGGATAAACACATGCCCTCTGGAATGTGTTTATCCCACCTCGCCTCCTGGTCATTGGGTCACTTCGCTTGACTGCTTGCCTCCTTGTCTTTCTTCTTCTGCTACTCAGGCTTCTCCCCTTTCAGACAATCAGGCCACTGACATAATGTATCAAAAACACATCCCTCTCAATCATTTCAATGAAATGATTCACTCAATGTGGCTGAGAGCTTCTGCAAAAGATCAAAAGGCAAAAATGTTCCCTTGCTCAACCTTCATCTTAAGAAGTACCATTTCTGATTTTGCCTCAAAGACTATTTTTTTCCTTTTAAAACTTAAAAATACATTTTAAAAAAGCATGTTGACATGTTTTTTACTACAAAAAAGCTGCTGCTGGAAACGAGATTGATGGGAATGGTGAGAGTGAAGCAGTAAGGTTGTGGACCAAAATAATTAACTTAAAAATGCTTATTTTATACGTTATATTTTGCTTCATATCTATTTGGTAACAAATACAAAAAAAAGCAATAGTGAGTGGCACATGAATACAAATTAAGCGAATGCAAGATGGAATATAAAGGAGTGCAGTACATCATCACCTTTCTCATGTAACAGAGAGAGAGCAACGACAGATAAACATGATGCAAACCCACATGCAGAGTGACAATATATTATGATGATGTTGATGGACAAACAGAATGTAAACAAGCAATGAGAAGGATTAACACAGTGAGAGTGGGATGTGTACACACACTGTATAGGTAGAATACCAGTGAGAGCACAGCACCCTTCTTCCTGTTGTTGCAGTATTGAAATAGAGAGGGACGTCATGTCCAGCCTGGTATTGATGGACAGTTAACTGGTAATGTTGTCTAATGTTTTCCCTGTCTGTGTTCCTGGAAGCTTTCCTCACTCTCTTACAGAAGCATTTATATCACTCGGAATGCCATTTGGTGTATGCTTTTACCCATACAGTTATTGGAATTGATCCCTTAACCCTAGTGATGTTAATGGCCAACCCATGGCCATAAATAAACACACATATATATATATATAGATGATTTAGATGATAAGAAATTAAGTCAGCAATTGTTCCGCAAGATGATTGGAATCACTGCATTGGATTTGACACTGTGCTAATGTTATTCAACAAATTTTGTGTCAACCAGACCACTATATTTTGCAGCAATGCAAGTGCAATTGTTAAAAATTAAAATCAACACATTAAGAATACTGACTAAAGATTTTCCTTCATGAGTCGACTAGTCATCTCATGTTTATGATATTAATTTAATTATTTAAATACATTTTTTGTGGCATCAAAAAACTTGAAAGCTGAGAAAGAATGTTATTGTAACACTGTTAACACTGTGCTAGAAAAATAAAACTCTGTATTAATAAAATATAAAATAAAATATAAATTTTACAAGGGTCACAAAGTCAGCAACCTGTTAAGGTTAAGCGGTAATAATAATAATCTTTATTTATAATGATATAAGGATTCTGAATGTGTTGGAACAACCAACAAGGGGACTGGACTTAATGTCCAATCTCCTAAAAAATATTACAAGTTTCATTGTTCAAAACACGGGAATAATTACTTCACAAAAACTAATATTTGTGGATTTATCAACACAATGCATGATGTATTATATTACTTATAAATTAACTCGCTACAAACTTCCTATTCTCATGCCTCTCATGTCCTCGCCTGAACCCACGGTGTATTCATCAGAGCCACTGTAAATCACCTCAGTACCGTGTTCTCTGTCATCAAACTGTCTGGAGGAGAGGAAAGTAACTCCTGTATGTTTTCATCATTTACAATAATAATGACCCATGTTTCTGTCTCTTGAGTGAACTACAAAAACAAAGGAATTTGCTTTACCGTTCCAATACTTTTGGGGTGGACTGTATCTGTATTCACCTAGGTAAAAAAACCCCCACAGTATTACTGTGTAGTTCCTGTGCACATTAATTCACTAATTAGTTAGGTGAATGCAGTTGCTATACCTGGAAATACAGGTGAAGACAATACTGGTGTATACAACGATTTTTCAACATTATCATGACCACTCACAGATGTATGACACACAGTGTTTCACATCTTACAGGTACAGTATTTGTTAGATGTTTCATGGATCTCAACATTACTCACCTTTTCTATGCCACTCAATATTTCATTAAACATTCTCGTTGCTGAGCTCTGCACAGAATAGTTTCCTATCTAGAGCAGAAAAACAACATGGCATTACAATTAAGAATGTGCTGGATCTATTCCCAGTAATTCATCACATATTTACCTACTATTTGTTGCCTATGGTTTGAGTCCAGGCAGGCAGGTACAGGCCCTCATGGAGTCATTTAAGTGCAGTCTCCTCTGAGCATACGTCAGCATGGAAGAGTGGTACACTTCCAGAAATCCTGTATTGGTGCAATTTTGAAAACCCCAATCTGTGCTACATTCACAAATTACCACATAATCAAGTTGGGAGAAGTATTTCTACAACAACCTGAAGAAAGTGTGAGTTTTCTTGCTGGGTGTAACACTAACAACAGTGTTAGTGCGGACTGAGAACAGTGATACTAGTCCATTTTTTTACTCAGTAAATGATGTACAGCAGCTGAACTTGAATGAAACAAATCTGACTATGTACACAAGGCAATGTCATCTGTTTCAAGTGTTGAAGGAGAGTCTTGTCTATCACAACTGCTTTGAGAGACTGGAACTGAAGAAGCCTCTCAGATGAGAAGCGAAACGTCTTGCCCTTGATTTTAACCTTCCTTGGACAACTATGACCTGGAATGTCTGAGAACCTTCACATACTTCTCTGATGCTCCTCTGTCAAGGGCTGGGTGATGACAGTGTACTCAATATAATTCTTCTCCCTTCTATGCACGTCACAAAAATTATGCAGCTGCAAATTCCACTGACACAAACACTCCTAAAAACTGAGACTTCACTCTAAATGAACCCTAAATTGAGAATATTATTATTATACCAAG